GAGACACGAGGAGCAGAGACACGAGGAGGAGAGACACGAGGAGGAGAGGCACGAGGAGGTGAGACACGAGGAGGAGAGACACGAGGAGGAGAGACACGAGGAGCAGAGACACGAGGAGGTGAGACACGAGGAGACATGAGGCCGTCTTCTTCACGCCACAGAGAGACTCTCTGAAACTTCATTGACGTTACCTGTGCTGCTGGTCCGCTCGGTCACTGTGAAACATGACGTGAGATTAAATGCATTAAATGTGTTGTCACCCGGACATTCAAAGTAGCTCAGACTGATTTCCATTGGACTGAAACTGAGCTGCGCAGATACAGGCATCACAGGCCGAGCCCTGAGAAGAGAGAGAAAAAAGTAAATAGTTTGTTTATTAGGCTGGCCTGAGAAAGCAAACCTACTAAAATGCTATTTAAACTTCTTATCATTATTATTAATAGGTTGGCTTGAAAAAAATCCCATAGACTTACGTTGACGGAATGTTCAAATGAGCAAAGAATATTCAAACTGCAACTGTGAAAATTCAAATCTGAACTCCCAGAATCCCTTGAGACTCATTCAGCCTTCCCTTCATTAGCTGCGTCCTTCGAAGGCTGCATTCGAGGCCAGCTCGACGAAGGCTGTCCCAATTCGATGGATCCTTCAAACCCACCCTCAAAATGCATCCTTTGTTTCCTGGACAATGAAAGATAGAACTAATGGATCTTTCAAGGCCCAGGCTATCCCAAATTCATCGCATGTTAATGACAACAGGATTTTTTTGAGAGAACATGCCAGATTATGCTTTTAAATGTAAGTATTGGGTTTCGGCTTTTTCAAATATCTAATGATATAAATGTACAAATGTGAAAAAAAACCTTTAAAGTAGTTTAAATGTTGACATATCTTACTGAGATGTGCTTTTATAGATGGTGTAGAAGGTGAGCATATGTAGACAGGTTGTGAACCCTGGTTAGTTTGACGATCACTTTCAAAAAAAGTCCAGTGCAAGAGTTACTGCCACTCATCAACAGCAGCTGTCACAGTTGCTAGGTGTCAAGATCAATCCTTCATAGGCTAGACCGTCCCATTTAACAACGCTGGGTGCAACCTTCACGGTGTTCGAAATGCGTCAAGCATGCAGCTTTCGAATTGGGACACGGTTTACATATTTCTAAGCCATTTAGACTAATTTAAGCTTCCAATCTATGTAGTATCTATCTATCTATCTATCTATCTATCTATCTATCTATCGTTACTTCCTTACTTACTTATTAGGCTGCCGCTTTACACTGGGGCTGTATTGTTTTGTCTTATTTTTGTTCAAATGTATGTATCTATCTATCTATCTATCTATCTATCTATCGTTACTTCCTTACTTACTTATTAGGCTGCCGCTTTACACTGGGGCTGTATTGTTTTGTCTTATTTTTGTTCAAATGTATGTTCTCCTGGTTTCAAAAATGGACTACCATCATCTCACACATTCAAAAAACAGACATACAATGGGCTAAGTTTCCGTGGCTCCAGCTGGTGTGTTCCACTCTGCCTGGCCTATGGCGTTTGCAGTGTGGTTTCTCCTGACGGAGTGGCTGCGTCTGATGGGAGGATTTAGTGGCTGTTGTCGTTGAGTGTTCCCGTTTTCGGTTTGGGGTCCTGGAGTTTTGTACTCACCGAGATATGGTTCGACACGGGTTTGTTGGCGTGTCTACACCATTGGGCCTGCTCTGGTTTACAGTACATATCACGCTACTGCTCATTCTGTTTGGACTGCTGGCTCAGACAAATGTATGTTTTCACTCTTGATTATACATTTGACTCAGATTTTATGATTTTTTTGTTATGATTGTTGTGTATACTGTATTGTTTATTGTATTTGAACTTTTATATTGTTATTGTTTATTGTATTTGTCTTGTTATATGTATTTATGTTATACAGTGTTGACTGTAAAAAGCTTTGAGCTCAGGAAAAGTGCTATATAAATTAAACTCATTATTATCTAAATAAATATGCTTTCACTGTTTAAAATTGTTTCAAACTTCAAGCTTTTACAACTACTTCAAGCTTTCAGGCTAGGCTTTCTCAAGCCAACCTAAAGTTTGTCTTGACAAACGTTTTTGTCTAGTTAATAGTGTGATAAATCTCAGTTTGGCACCTAGTAGGTTTTGTTTATTGAATTTATTCTCCAAACTAAAGAATGACGTACTTGAGCAGGACGATCCCTCCCTGTGTTCCAATCACGATATCTGTCAGATTATCATCATTCATGTCCATGTGACCAGACAGAGACACTCCAAACTGCTGCAGACCAGGCAGAACCGACCGCGCTGGGATCCGCTAAACACACACACACACATATTGAGTGCATTCAGACTTAATCCCAAAGTATACTTCAGTTTTTATGAGTACGTATGCACACAGTGCATGTGATATATATTCCATCATTCGCGTAGTACATGCATGACCCAGTTTTTTTTTTTAACCACATGTGCTCTTTACAATTAGTTCGCATATGCATCTTGAATTTTTCTGGGCTAATAGTTTGTCCGCAAGGTGGCAACACTGACCCATGCCATTGTTTCACAGTCAAAAAAGAAACAGAAGAGACATAACAACAGAGCCATGCTGACAAGCACTTTTGTGAGGCAGTTCAGAAATTTACGCAACTCCAGTCTAAACGAGTGCAAATATATTTTATTGCTCAACTTCTGGAGAGAAATAGTGCAGACACTGGACAAAGATGAAACTTTCTAGTGTGCATGTGTGAAGCGCCTGTGTTCGTGCATGCTATTAAATGGAGTTTGCTTTGAAAGTCTGCATGTTCAGTCATACAATTTTTTTTCCCTTTCAGTCACCTGATGGTGTTTGGGTTCCTTGCCACCGCTGCCTTCTGGCCTGCTTAGTTGGGGTCTGAAAGACACTTAACTTTTGAAAAATGATTAATATGAACTAGAACTGAACTAAGCTGGATGATGACTCTATCGTCTTCTGTAGAGCCACAAGAGTCACATCTTGCAGCATAGACACTGGTATTAAACTGAACTGAATCAACACTGCACTGACTCAAGCTGAATAATGACATTGCTGCCTTTTGTAGAACTGCTTATAGTTGAAATGAACTTGTTTCAAATTTATAAATTTCTCATTTATTGATCTGAACTGACTTGATCTGAAAAATTATACAATTGTCTTTTTAGAGCTGCTCTACAGCAGAGTCTGAACTTTCTCCATAGCTGAGTTTCCATAACTGATTCTGCTATGTTCCTTTTTATCTCTGTCAAGCTGCTTTGACACCAGGGCTGGACTGGGACAAAAAATCGTTCCAGGCGGCCCACC